GTTTAGAAACTTCTTTTGCAAGCACTGGAAACTGAAGATTGAGGCATGACTTTTCACAAAGACAGAGGGAACTTTGAAGTAGGATTAGTTTTATTGTCACATGTACTCAAGTGAGCACAGTGAAAAGTGTGTACGTTGCCGCTTAAGGCCCCATCTTAGATACAAAGGTCCCTAGCCACAGTTTTTTCAGTTACAAGGAAAAACAGAGAAGTAAAAAATGTCCAGCATTGCAAATTTAGGAATAAATTATAAAATGGAGGAAAAAAAGTAAAGAAACAGTCTTCCGACCCAATCCATGTTAACGTACAGCCCCCCGGGGACCGAAAGTCCACACGAAGACCATGCCACTGAGAGACCGCCACGTACCGCCCAAAGACCACTAGGCTGGGCCTCTGGGATATCACCATGCCGAGCTGAGAGTTCTGAGGCAGGCAGGTTGGAAGCTGCGAGGTTGGAGATTGCGAGGTCGGCAGCTGGGAGGTCGGAGGCCTGGAGTTCCGAGGCTGCGAGTTATATTTCTTGCATGCACGCTTTGTGGAGGCCTGAGTCACGTACTTCAACAAAATACATCCCTGCAGTACATCTGCTGAATTTGCTTTTTGTATGGTTTTGAGACTCACATCTTTCTAATACCATTGTGTACATGAAGATATTTCCTCAACTAGATTGGGAGGTATCATAAAAATAGATCAGGTACCTGGTCCAGAAACACAAGAAAGAACACACACTCCAGTGCTGTTCTGTATGTCTGAAGTCTAGTATTTTGGCATTTGGCACCTTATCAAAACACCACTGAAGGGTTGGTCAAGAAAGATTCCGGAACTGGACCATGGAAGACAGCTCATTGACACACCTCAGTTAGGGATAACATCATCAGATTAACCCTTCAACTGTCACCAATACTATACTATGCAGTACTGTGCGCAGATGGCATTGTTTATATTTTTAAAATTATTTCACACAGTGACCTTGGCCATCTGTTTCAGTTGTGTGCGGACTAGAGTGGCAGTTATTTGAACACCATAGTAAATGAGAAATGTGGCTAGTTATTCCACTGTTTGTAAGTGTTCTTTCAAGGAGGAATGGTGGACAAGCTACTAGGAAAACGTCACACTCTTCTTAAAATAATGTCATGACCTGGTTTTACATTCACTGAACAGGGAGACAACTTTTTTTTGAACAATTGATCCAAAAGATAGCATCTCTGACAATGCAACAATCAATCAGTACTGTGATAGAGCGTTAACCTAGAATTGGTACTCAACTACTGAAATAAGCCATACAAATGCAGAAAAAAAACAGCACCGAAGAATGTATTTGGCATTATATTGTGCTGGCTGAGAGAAAGCTACCTAGCCCAATCTTACGGACAAATTCTTAGTCCGTAGTCTTGAATATAAAGGTATTTCAAGTGCATATCCAGAATGGCCCTCAAATCTAATACTATGTGCCTCAAAGGAAAGGGTGCTACCAAGTGAACCACAGCTAAGAGCTGATTGCGAACACAGCAGTAAGTCTGAAAAATATATTATGTTCCATCTAACTCAGAGTTTCAGATGAATTTAAGTGAAACTGAAACATTTAATCAAAGGGATCAATAAACTGAAGCACGTGAAACTCAGAAGTGTAGACACACACTGGGGGCAAAACTCTGTAGAGGAAGTTATCATCAAGGTTGAACAAAATGGGGGACAAAGCAAAAGTGATCAAAAAATTACAATAAGTGATAGAACTGATAACAGGTCATGAAATGTTATCTTTTTTCATCTCCACAGGTAGTACCCGACTGCCTGAGTATTTCCAGCTTTCTCTATTTTTAGTTTCTGATATTCAAACAACTGCCACACTTGTTTGCACACAACTGAAGCAGATGGTCAAGGTCAATGCTTGGAATATTTTTTTTATTGAAACAATGCCAGCTGCACATGTACTGAATACTATTGTATTCCAGCATTCCTTATTTTCATTTTGCATTTGTTCACAGTTCTAAAATTTTGTCAGACACTGAGTTGGAACAGGAGACCATACAATGCATTTTTTTAATCTATTCACAGGACGTGGGCATTGCTGGCAATGCATTTATCACCCATCCCTAATTAACAGTCAACCATACTGTTGCAGGGTGGAGTCAGACATCAGTCAGACCAGGTAAGGATGACAGATTTCCTTCCCTGCAGGACCTCAAAGAACCAGGTTTCTTTTACAACATTTGACAGTGGTTATATAATTACCATTAGGTCAGCTCTCTATTCCAGATTGTATTGAATTCAAATTCCATCATTTGCCATGGTGGGATTCAAACGCATGTTCTGGATCATAATCCAGTGACATTACCACGCGTCCACAGCCTCACACAAGACTTCAGCAGGGGATACACGAATGAGGAACAACATACTGCTAACAGGAACAATAAGGCAATTTTCAAAGAGGTAGTAATCACAATAACTTAAAAAATTATATGGCCATTCAAGCAGTCTCTCATTGAGTTATAATCGTCACTTTTCTCTAAATTAGACCTTCACCATTAATAACTCTCTCTATATAGGTGTCTATCTGGCTATTCTTCAATATCAGAATCAGTAAGTTGAAGTTGTCAGTCCAGGAAGTGCTACATGACAAACAGCCCCTTTATGTATTTTCTGAATGAGCATGTGAGACAGCCAGAACGCATCAAGTTAAATTGGAGATAACAAAGTGTGGAGTTGGAGGAACACAGCAGGCCAGGCAGCAACAGAGGTACAGGAAAGCTGACGTTTCAGGTCCGGACCCTTGTTCAGAAATCTTCAGAAAAGTTAATATTGGACTTTTGGTTATCTTATCTGTTCTTTATATGCCAAATTATGGGTGGTTTGGCAAAGTTTAAACTAATTATACATAAGAGTGGCAGTTCAAAATTTGACATGATCTAAGAGCGAAGAAAGTTAAGTAGATTGGTAAAATCCATATTTCATCCCAATCCAGGTAGTGTTACAAATGGCTGTCAACATTTCTGCATTAAAGACTGTGAAATATATTTGCCAATTTCCTGCTTTTGATCAGTACCCAGCGATTCAGATTGGAAAATACATGTGCATGGATGTCAGATGACAACAAGCATTCGAGTAAGTTTTTGATCCTTCCCGTGAAAAAAGTATTCGTCAAAGTAACATAGTTTGGTCAAGACTTGCATGCACTAGGTAAGTGTTCTACTGATTACACTGGATTTTACAGCATGAATTCATTGGCAGATTGTATGGTAGCCAGGAGCTCAACTCTTGGAAAAACTGGAATAAGAGAGGACTTAAAGTGGTAGCAGCCATCTGGGGGAAGTATCAGGTTCTTTGGAGGCTTCTCCATGAGTTATTGCTGTACAATTGCACTGATTTGTTACCAAAGGATTTCTGTAATCTCAAAGTAATTTATGGAATCAACATCAGGCAATTGACTCAGGAAAACGGTGGAAAAACAAAGAGGGGAGTAATGTGGAAGCATAGGTCTTTTGAACAAAATTCATGAAAGGGAGACAGCCTTTTGGGCTAATAGGGAAGGTGGTAACTTAAAACAGTTAAAAGAACTATGTGAAGAAGTGACAAGGGTGCTGAGTTCCACTTTTCTTACCCCAAGATTGCAGACTAATAACAAGAAAATTTTAACAATTGACAAGAGAGTATGGTGAGAAAACTCCTACCCTTTCTTTTGTACACTGGCACTGCTAAACCACTTCCACTGATAACCTTCACTTACTAAACCTAATGGCACACTTTCACTCACATTTTACATTGGTTCAATGGTTCATTAACTTATCCAATTGAGCAGAATCTGAGATTGGAACTCTCTCCCCTTCTGTCCATGTACCCTTGCGACTTGCTTTTAAAAATGCAATAAGTAAACTGAAACTTAGGGAATAATGTTTCCACGCTTAGAGCAATTAAGCTGTGAAATAGGCTATCAGTTTTTTTCAGTGGATGATGGCTAAAAGGAAGCTAAGCTAATGGCAATCTGAGTTCCAATAATTCAGAAACAATTACTAACTTCCTGAGTTTAGTTGTTTGGCACCAATTGACTGGAGTGTCTCTAATTTGTACTGCATAAAATGCTACTAAAAGCAGGCTAGTGTACGGAGATGAGCAGAAAAAGTTGATGGCTGAAACCATTGGAACCACCGGATTAATGTAGGGCCCATATCCAAAGTATTAACTTAGCTCTTCTCTTCACAGATGCAGACTGGCCAACTAAGTATTTTCAACTTCTACATTTTCAGATTTCCATTATCTGCAACGCTTTGGTTTTGATATTTTCTAATCAATCTGTTCAGAGATGTTATTACATACCTGTGGAAAAAATAGGTGGGACTTGAACCCAGGGCTTCTAGTAGAAACATTAACACTGCACAAAAAGCCCCTTATGCTTTGGTTTACATTACAGAATGATCGTGTGGCTAGTTATAATGCATGTAAATCTCTGCAATCAAACCTTTATCATTACTATAAGCCCATTACTATACATGACATGTTTACATTAATTGGTGGCATGTAGAATTAGAAGTTTCTCTACTGCTTCAGACTGGATAAGACAACACATATTTGTTAAATTTTTTTAATATTCTAAAGACAGTGCTACTAGTACTATCATCCATTTGGTACTGAATAAGTCACTCAAAAGTTTTAGTGGGTACCTCAGAAATTTCTGAAATATTTAGTCTAATTTCAACTTCCACAACAAACATAAAATCAGACACAATCTGCCTTTTAAACTAGATGTCTATTTTATCCGTTTATCCTCATATTTTGCAAGCATGAATTATTCATTAAAGTTTCCAAATAAATTTCTTCAACAGGAAAGCAGACGTAATAATTTATGTTACAACTCCACCCTCTTCCATGCCCCACTTAACCTTGCTTCTGTTTTGGGAAAAAATTACCACCTCCAAAGCAAAAACATAAAGGCCGCCCCTGATTTTGATTACCCAAATAATGCCGGTTTCCTGGTAAAACTGTTACGCTTATGGCTTTTGATATTACCTGTCCTTCCCCGACTGTCTCAGTATCGATGATTGTGACAACTCCAGGAATGTGTGGGCTACGTCGGGAGGTGCTATGGGTAGAAACCTCATCCTCAACTGGCCCTGAGGGTAGGCTGCCAGCCAACCGCCCAACTGCTTCTCCAAACATGGTCAGTCCTGTCTTGAGTGTCTGTATCAATTTTGGAGAGACATAGAAAAAAGGAAAACAATCAAAACTAGCATCAGCTCCCCTCAAACAAGTTCAGACACAGAAAATACAGCAGTCTCCAGCCAGAACAAATGAGAATCAATGGAAAACTGTTTTGATTAGTGCTAAAACCTCTAACTGCAGTGATTAGAAAACACATTACAGATGATCAATTAGTAGTGAAGTGTTTGTTTCAATTATTAATGATTTGGTAATTTACACAAAGTCTGTTAGTGGTTTGTTGTGAAAAGACTTCCACAAACCAAAATAATTGGCGCCACACAGTATTGACAATGGTACATGGTCAGGAAGCCTGATTAACCTTTTAAATGCCGTCAGCTGCTCCCTCCATTAATAGTAACGGTGTTCCTCTCATGTAAGCTGTTAGGGCTCATTTAGAGGCTATCAGGTAACAGAAATACAGAAACAAGCATCACTAAAGCAATTAACCATCCTACAGTTAAATCAACCTAAGTAGATGGAAGCAGCCATGAGAGCAACTAGATTGTGACAGAACTAAAGGTTTTATGGAAATCAGAACATCACAAAGAAGTCAGAAAGCCACACTAAATGCCTGTTTTCTGATGTAGGTGTGAACAATTTCTTAGGCTTGGGACTCAGTGGTTTTTTTGGTAATCTGTGACAACAATGACAACCCAATCATAATCTACGTTAATTAACTTTAACTCAAGGCAAAACCATATTTTGTTTGCGGCAATGTACAAAGGACCACCAGTTAATTGGCAGTTTGCTGATTGGCATAGTAAAAAATAGGCAAATATAGATGTTAGATGACAAGAATTTTTTTGCAATCTGTTCTAAATTGGATTTTGCTAATTGACGGGTATACAAATTTCGTCCAGGTCATAAGTGTTTAGTAGTTCAGAGGGGCAGACTATGTCCAAAAATATTGTAAATCACAGACTATTCAAACAAACAACAGATAATTTAAGGGCACCTGTATGATGGATGTGAGCTGAAGACAGACAAGCTGACAAAATGCAATCAGAGTCATTCAATTTAATAGTCTAACAAAGATCCTCACCTCAGTTCAGAAACAAGTAAGCTATCTGCTTATACCTTTAAACATTTAAGTAAATTGCCAAATTTTTCCAGCACTGATTTTATCTCAGGCTTCATAAAGGATAGATAATTCTAATCAGCCTGTTCAGCCATGTTGTAACACACTTCTGGGGCATGGGAACCCAAGTTTCCTGGCCCAGAGGTAGGGACACTACCATTGCACCAGAAAAGCCTTTCTACAGAAAGGATAAGGGGATGTTAATAATACTGCCTGTCTCAGAAGGATCCCAATTAACACCCCAGTCAAGTGTGAAATGAGGGCTGAGAATCTACTGGAACACAAAATTGTCAAGGGACATATCAAATCAGATAATTTATAAATCACTTAAAATTCTGAAAAATGAAGAAGTTCTATGGTCAAAGACTGGCAAAAATGCACTTTTGCAATGCTGATAGAAGAAATGTCACAACTGTTCAAGTCATTGGTCTTAAAAATGGTTTAACTGCTGGTGGCTTGTTTATAGGTCATTTAGAAATGACTCGGTTATAGGGGATTTACCTTTTGGCTGTTACGAATTAATTTGTACAGCTTTTATTTTCAATTAAAGTTGGATAACTACTGGTCAACAGACTTTGAGAAAATGTTTGAGCTGTAGTGACTCACAACCTTTCAGATATGTGGTGTATATACATAATAAAGTACTCATCAAAATATTTAAATATTATACTTAAATAAATAAATAAATATGTAGAACAATAAAATGAGAATGTAAATGTGGTTGACATTAAAGCCCTAGTGAAATCAGCACACTGGTAGATTTAATTGTGAGGTGGGGGCAAGAGAATTTTATCAAAAAATTGAATAATCCTTCTGATCTGTGGAAATAATCTCAAGAAGTAGCATTACTCATCAGGACCACAGTTTAAGTGTCTCATGGAGCGTGGAATTGGACAATACAATTTCCAACATGTTAACTCTGTGTTTTACATTTAGGGGCAGACGTTGAGGTGCAATAATTGGTATTAGCACTGTCCTAGAAAGAAATGCAGGGAACCGGGGTTCTTGTTCAGTTGTCCAGTGACGTGTGCCACAAATTTGCAGGCATAGCAGGTAAGAACAGCAATTAATTTGACTGCAAAATCCTCTAGCAGATGATTACTGTACCAATACATGCCTTATAAACTCATGCTTGATTAATACCAACAATCAATTATATTGGAGGATCTTCAGTAATAGAGCCCCAACAAATGTCAGAGCATGCAAAAGAGAAGGAAAGTTAAAGTGGCAGGAAAATAGCTAGATTTCAGTCTTTCATGCTAGCTTTTCAACAGTCCCCTATTGTGAGAATGATCATGCTTTGCACTGCAGTCTTCATGTTTTAGAAATTCAGAGTGAAACAGCATTAAGAAATCTCTTTCATAAAAATTACAAATTTCCAAAAACATAAGTGATGCCATTCAACATTAACTATAATGGGATAATCTATCCCTCAACTTAATATTGTTTTATTCATGTTATACAGCAGGTGTTCTCAACATTTCTGTATTCTGAGGTACATTGCAGATAATAGCACATTTTCTCAAAGCAGTGTGCATCACACTGAGGAAAACATCAACACACTTGGATTGGATAGGAGGCAAGAAAAATAAGTACTTTAGGGTAAATACAGCTACAGAGTCATATAGCATGGAAACAGACCTTTCAGTCCAACCCATCTGCGCCTAACAGACATCCCAATCTGACTTAGTCCCATTTGCCACCATTTGGCTCACATCCCTGTAAACCCTTCCTATTCATACAGTTATTCAGATACCTTTTACGTGTTGTAATTGTATCTTCCTCCACCACTCCCTTTGCAGCTCATTCTGTACATAAACCACCCTCTGCGTGAAAAAGTTACCCCTCAGGTCACTTTTAAATCTTTCCCCTCTCACCTTAAACCTATGCACTCTAGTTTTGGGACTCCCCCACCATAGGAAAAAGACCTTGGCTATTCACCCTATCCATATCATCATGATTTTATGAACCTCTATAAGGTCACGCCTCAGCCTCCAACATTCCATGGATAAAGGCCCTAGCCTATGCAGCCTCTCCTTTTAACTCAAACCCTCCAGTGCTGGCAACATCCTTGTGAATCTTTTCTGCACTCTCTCAAGTTTACCAAAACCCTCCCTATAGAAGGGCAACCAGAATTGTACGCAGTATTCTAAAAGTGGCTTCACTAATGTCCTGTACAGCCGCAACATGATATCCCAACTCCTACATTCAATGATAAGAGATAACAAGGTGTAGAGCTAGAAGAACACAGCAGGCCAAGCAGCATCAGAGGAGCAGGAATGCGTTTCGGGCCTAGACCCTTCTTCAGAAAGAAGGGTCTAGGCCCGAAACGTCAGCTTGTTATCTCAGATTCTCCAGCATCTGCAGTTCCTACTATCTCCTACATTCAATGGTCTGACCAAGCCTGCTAAATGCATTCTTCACCACCCTGTTGACCTGTAACTCCACCTTCAAGGAACTATGCACCTGCAACCCTAGGTGTCTCTGTTCGGCAACACTCACCAGGACCCCACTATTAACTGTATCAGTCCTTCGCTGGTTTGCCTTACCAAAGGCAACACCTCACATTTATCTAAATTACACTCCACCTGCCACTCCTCAGCCCATTGGCTCATCTGACCAAGGTCCCATTGTACTCTTGAGATAATCTTCTTCACTGTCCATGACACCATTTATTTTGGTGTCATCTGCAAAAATACGAACCATTCCATCTATATTCACATCCAAATCATTTATAGTAATGTCGATAAACAGTGGACCCAGCACAGATCCTTGCAGCACACCGCTGGTCACAGGCCTCCAGTCTGAAAACCAACCTTCTATCAGCACCCTCTGTCTCCTACCTTCAAGCCAATTTTGTATCCAATTGGCTAGCTCCCCCAGATTCCATGTGATCTAACCTTACTAACCAGTCTACCATGCGGAATTTTGGTGAACATTTTGCTGAAGTCCCTATAGACAACATCCACCTACATCGAACTTTTTGTCACCTCTTCAAAAACTCAATCAGGTTAGTGCCACATGATATCCCATGCACAAAGCCATGCTGGCTAACTGTAACCTGTCCTTGCCTTTCCAAATGCATGTAAATCCTGTCCCTCTGAATCCCCTCCAACAACTTATTCCCCACCAATGTAAGGCTCACCAATCTATAGTTCACAGGTTTCTCCTTACCACCTTTCTTAAATAAGAAAGCCTCCAGTATTCCAGCACCACACCCGTGACTGTTGATGATAAAAATATCTCAGCAAGAGATCAGCAATCTCTTCCCTCACCTCCCACAAAGCTCTGTGAAACACTTGATCAGGTCCCAGGGATTTATCTACCTTTATCCATTTTAAGAACTCCAGCACCTCCTCCTCTGTAATATGAACTCTTTTCAAGACATCATGGTTTATTTCTCCAACTATCCTAGCTTCCATATCCTTCTCCACAGTAAATACTGACGCAAATGGTTTGTTTAGTATCTCACCGATCTCCTGTGGTTCCACACACGGACGGCCTTGTTGATCTTTACGGGGCCCTATTCTCTCTCATTACCCTTCTGCCCTTAACGTACTTGCAGAATCCCTTTGGATTCTCCTCAACTCTATATGCCAATGCTATCCCATGTCACCTTTTTGACCTTCCTACTTCGCTCTTAAGTATGCTCCTACTGCCGTTATACTCCTCTCGGGATTTACTCAAGCCCAGCCATCTGTAGCTGATAAATGCCTTCTTCTTTATCTTGACCAGAGGCTCAACTTCTCTAGTCATCCTGCATTCCCTACACCTGCCAGCTTTGCCTTTCACACAAATAGGAACACACCGTCTCTGGACTCTCGTTATCTAAATTTTACGGGTCTCCCACTTCCCAAGCATCCTCTTACCTTCCCATAATTTCTAACGCAAACTGAAAATG